ACGCGAGAAGACGAAGGCTCATCTGCAAGAGTCTGATGTCAGCGATGAGGGCATCATCATCACCCCAACGGACACAGACATTGTCATAATTGACACGTCTTTTTCTCACACCATGCCAAACAGACACAAAGTTACTGTTTTATCTCTCCCGAAAGAAAAAGAAAGCAAACTTGGTCGAGCACCAAAAAACCACAACAACAGGAGGCAAGATCAGTCAATCCGCGGAAAAACCTATACATTAACGACATTAGAATGGTGTTTATAATCTTAATCATTCTTTTTTTATACTTACTCGTCAAAAAAACTGATTAGGAGCATCTTACAATGTTTGCAGTTTTAAAGAAAGAAAAAAAAGAGAAAGGGAAAAAAAAATTTATAAAAAAAAACCGACTGCGCCAGGGAGAATGATGACGTCTGGATTTTTTAGCCAATAACGGAATTTCAATTTTTTTTTAAATCTGATGACTTCATAAATACATTGACGGACAGAACGAGGGAAACTACAGAGGAATGTACTCCATTAGTAGCCATTTATTTAACGGTTTCCAAAACATTTCTATTTCTACACTGTGGCATTAGACCTTTGTTTTTTTCTAACAATGGATGAGATGTGTGGAGAAACTTTGTTTAACACAGAAAAAATAGATAAAAAGAGGCAAATAAGATTAATAGTGCTTGCAGGCTTTTATTCTTATTATTAGTTTTAAAACTGAATGACCTTTTATATTATGGTAGAAGGCAGGGTACTTATAGTTATTGGGATCTGTAGTTTAAACGGTTGTCTAATAGTTAGTGAAGGTACCATTGGGTGGTATAATACATGTCCGATGGTGCCTTAAATTTAAGCAGTCATTGCCTTTATGATTGGATTGATTCGTAAACAATGAGCTAGTCTTATTGTTCTGTCAGAATTGAGAGGACGATGGTTCTAAGAAATCTTAAGTCAAACTGAGTTCTAAAGTAGTAACTCAGTTTTTATACCTGATGTTCTTTTCTTTTGTGATATTGTATTTGGTATATGAGTCGATCATGTGGGATCGACGATTTATTTATTTTATTTTATTATATATAAGTGCGATTTTAGCACAAGATGTAACTAAAAAAACTGCTGAATTTTAAGAATCACTGAAAAATACAACAAAGAAAATAATCTATAAGACTAATTAATAACCGGATTGCAAAATCACTTCCTTTTATTAAATATAAAAATAAAGAGTTCTTTTATACACATTGAACATAACCATAACTGTAAACGGGAAAACTACCATCGTGGGTAGATTTCATTATAAATCATCCAAACTGTCAATATCCCGCAAGGTACATCAAGGATAATAAAAATAACAGTCCGTAACAGGGAAATTCCCCTTAGTGCTACGTGAATTTTAGATGAGCAGCTGACATATGTCAAAATATGAAAAATGATAAATTACTTCAATCGTCGGAGTATACCAATACTGTGGTGTATATACTCCTCGAATACAACAATCACTTCTTCACCCCTCTTTTTTTCCGAAATTGTTTTGCACGCTTAACAAAATGAAAATTGAAAATGTTAGAAACTCGTTACCACTTAAATTCTTGGACGAAAAAATTAATAATTAACTATAACAAGTACGATGATCAACAAGACAAAACTATTGTTATATAGAATTAAATAGTTCTGAGAGAATTTTTATCGTCTTATTGCGTCTTGATGTAGTACTCTGGTGATAATAAATAAATGACATGCTTTTTTGTTTAGCCCTGCTATACTAAGTATATAAATGTTACGCTGATGGATCAACCGTAGTAGAAACATCAAATGACAATGATAATATTTAGGCTCAGTATCTATTAATATTCTATAGCACGAACCTACTCGATTTTTTGTACCTCCCAGAATAAGTATTTACTCGTCACAAGATTTTACGCTGTGTACACAATTCAGCGATGGGATCGAAAAAAGCGGGGTAATATGGGATTCATGATGACATTCATACTACCATTCATCCTTTCTAGGATGTGATAATTAACTTTCTTATTGTATCCATGATATCCTTAAAAGAAATAGTAATTGTGCTGGTGGTGTTCTTAATTATGAAATTCTTTCGGAAATGTCGTGTTTTAAAGTAAAGTAAAATTATAGAAAGACTATAGGAGTGGTTTGAGACTGTTTATGAGATGTCTTTAATAATAAAGGAAATATACGAGTATTAATATAAAAAAATGTCGGCTTTGTTCATATATTTAGTGCTATCTTGAAGTTATCATTGATTAACCAAAAATGTATACGAATATTACGAAGTTACAAAAAAGTCTTGTTCTAATTAGTGTTCGGAATGAAGATCGAAACTCTCGAGCGGGCTTCGATTGTGTTCCAGTCGAAGATCGCTCGAATGCGTTTTTTTGAAGCTCGAGCTCGCTCGAAATTTCTTAAGCTCGGCTCGGTTGCAAATACGAGTGTTCGAACTCGCTCGCCTCTTTATTACACAAAGTGCACGTGAAAGTGATGTTAATTACGTAAAGTTATGATATTAAAATTATTGTTTATTGAAAAAGAAGTTGAAGTTAAAAATAAAATAAATAAAAATCTACAAAAAAAAAAAAACAAGTGATGAAAGAAAGTAGTAGATAAGATGTAAAAAAAAAAGAATAAAAAAAAATTATAATAAAAAAAAACAAAGAAAAAGAAAAAGGTATTAGTGAGTATTGTCTTTAAGCCAATGGTGAAGAAGAACGCTTTCTTTAAGACTCTCGGCAGTTAGTTGAGATCTAGTTGGTGTAAGAAAATGCTTACAAGTGCTAAATAATCTTTCGCAAGAAGTAGATGAAGCAGGCGGGGAGAGGAATGTGCGTGCCATTTTAGCAAGATCTGGATAAATATGTTGAGGATGTCATAGATTATAATAAAAGAATCATCACATTCACTATGGCGGAAATAATGGCAGCTATCTGCCATTTACTTCACAAAACTGCCATTTTTCTGGCGTGCAAAAGTGGCAGATATGATATTCTATAGTAACAAAAGAGGCACAGCTGCCATATTTTCGGCTGGCAAAAATGGCACCTTTAACAGTTGAATGAAGCGAAGAGGTTCACTGCTGCTGTTTTTCGGTTTTAAAAAATGGCATCTATTTTAGTTTCTTGAAGACAAATCATTCACAGCTTCCATTTTCCTGGCTTGTAAAAGTGGCAGTTATGATATTCTATAATAACAAAATGTTCACAGCTGCCATTTTTTTAAACGGACAAACCCTTAACCTTTTTTTTAGACCCATCCTTTTATATTTGGTAGGCTCACATTTTCTTATTCATCGTTATTATTGGCAGTAAAGCACGTTTTATTAAATTGTTTATTTATATTTCAGTGGTGTATACGAGGGTTTGATATAACTTTAACCTTTTTATTTAGGTTTTAGGTTGTATACATGGCAATAAGATATACCTTTATAATGCTTGGATGTTACTTTAGCTTACCTTTGACTCTCTTAACACTCTATAAAGGTATTGTTAGAAAATAGTAATATTGTAATTAATTCTGTATTTTATTATCAGCCTTAAGTTCTGATGTCGATGATTATTTGACCGGTGATGTTCCTAAAATGTCGTCGTTTGAGTGAAAGGTACACAGAAGAAATAGTCTAAATGTAAGTAGTATGATATCAATAAGAATAAAACATAACTTTTTAAAGGCTATTTACCTGTAAATATAGAACCGTATATTGATGAGGACCATTATCTATGGAAAATGGTTATATTATACAGACGTACTTCAGTTTGATCAAAATAAAAAAAAATGGGCTAAATTTTTATCTAAAAAAAAACCCCCTTTAGTTTTTTATACAGATTACATGTCATTGCTTCAGTCATTGCAAACATACCCAATTCCAACATATTTGTTCACACTTTCCGTTATTTTGAAGGGGCTATATACCCTTACCATCGTTATTTGAAGGCTATTTATTTTAAAAGATAAATAAAAGTAAAAGAAAGAGAGAAAAAATTGTAGGCTAAAAGAACGCTAAAATACACACTAATAAAGAAGCTATAAACCAGAATGGACCAATGATGTCGACCAGACACGACTATTATCTTCTTCTGGTTCTTTTACGTGAAGGTTCATTCGCTACCTCTGGTGGAGGAGAACTGTATAAAAAATAATCATCGCATATGAGTATACATATATCATGCATGAAAAACAATAAAAAAAACTTACGGCACGTCTGCTATGATGGGGGACTCATCGCGACCCATATCTTCGATAGAGTCTGAACTATCGGGATCTTGTTGATTCTACATTTTTTTACCTTGTTAACGATATTGATGAAATAAACCACTAACGAATTTTTTACTGCTACCCTTCTTCTGTGTGTTTGGTTGTCACTTTTAAAGCTCTCCCTTAACACGCTTTTGGCACACCACATTCTCTTACACTAGTATACTTTGAATCCCTTGTCATTCGCAAGCTTTTCCAGGCGTAACATGTAAAAATCCCTATCATTTGCCGGGATATCCTTCCAGTTTTTTAACACGTCAGGGTGGTCCAGGTCAATTAAATCATGCTTCAACGAACGTGCCAGTGACTTCAACTGAACTCGTTTGATCTCCAAATCACGTTGTGAAGTTGGGACTAGCGGTGGCTTTTGTTGATCATCGGGAATATCCTTACAAAATAACTGCCAGTCTTTTGTGTGTAAAAGTTGCAGCAGTACATTAAGTCTATCCGAGACCTTCTGTCCTTCAAACTCTTCAGAATTTGTGTCATTCGTTCGTTTACCAAGCTGATCAGGATATTCAATCACTTGGGATCTTTTTACCGACTCGGTGATTCGATCAAGAGCTAAAAAAATATACAGAAAAAACTGATTCAGTCACGATTATCAGAATCTGGGAAGGATATGCTTTACCACTTTGTTCGACGATACTTTTTTGTATCATATTTACATCTTCATCGATGATGTTTGATGCAAATTGAATTTTTGAACTGATCAGACAGCGCAGCTAGCATTCGTTTGATCTCGGTAACGTCAAGTTCAATTTTACGAAAAGAATTGGTGAGTGCAATATTCATATTAGACATTTGGAAATGTTTGTTTAAAATAATTTTTTTTAATCAATAAAAAGGTATAAAAAAGTTGAAAGAAGATATGCTAGTACATGTAATATACTTTAATCCCACCTTTAGTTACTTGGAGTTGAATTGTCTGCTTATCTAAATTATGTCATTTTTTTTGTTTTTTTGTTTGTTTTTTTTTTTTTTTTTTTTATTATTGTTTTTTTTTGTTTGTTTTTTTTTGTTTGTTTTTTTTTGTTTGTTTTTTTTTTCTTTTTTTTTTTTTTTTGGACGACATGTCGTCATGTCATGGCGTTTAAAAATTTAAATGACGGAAACAAAATTGAAATTAATACTTAAGGTCGAAGACCATAGCTAATAATATATCGCACCTGTCGTCATCTTCCAGGAAACTTGCATCATTGACGTATGTCACTATGGGTGTTCTCAAGCCAATTATTTAAAATTTTACATTAAATCCTTTAATTAAAATCAAAAGTCACAAAAAACACAACTCCAATTTGGGAAAATGCTAAACTGTCATTTGTACATGGCACAGAGGCCAATGTTATTTTATTTCTTTCTTGTATTCTTATCAAAATAAACATACTTTACCTTTGCCTCTACCTATTTTAAAAATGAACAACCAAAATAATGCTTCTTACCCTATTGATGGTCAGCCTGAGAGCAGCCAGAATGGAATCGTAATGAAAGAAAAGAATTTCCACACAAAATGAGTGATGTGATTTTAGTACTTTTTCGAGTTAAAATGATATTTTAATGTCAGAAAACATTTTTTAAAATTTGACCCCTCCATAGTGGTGGGGTCAAATATTTTTAATTAAAATCAGGATTTTAAAATTTTAAATAATTTGCTTGAGAACACCCTATGAAAGGGAAAAAAATTAAAAAGCGATTTTAAACTTAAGATATTGAGCATATAAAAAGCATATTACATATATACATTACTTACACCGGTTACATTTTCCAAATATAAATCACACTTCCACAAATATCAAAATTTTCAAATGTTATTCCCTCCCTCTTCTTCGTCAAATGCCAACAGACAAAGAGATAGACTTCCTCGTGAAGTTTTTGAATGTGACAGCTGTTCGATGATCTTTGACAGTTACCATCAACTCCAAAACCATAAGAGCGTTCAGATAAGAACAACAACATCTGAAGATACCGATATGCAAGAAAGCAATTATAATTTCGCTGATAATGGAGACGTCAGTAATTAGGGTACAAATAACTACATTATCCCCTTATTTAAAAAATAACTTACAAGGTATTTTTAGTCTATAACCCTGTTGGCATGGATGTTGACGACCAAATCAATTACAATTGCGTATGCAGCTTTGAAGAAAATGAAGGCAAGCCAGTAGAATCGGCTCCAACACATTCACAAAAGCTGAATTAATGAGCATTCATCTTTCCCAAATGATGCTGGAACAAAAGATAGCCCGAGCTGCTTACAGGGACATTGGAAGTTCTGTTAATACGGTTATTCGGGACCACATTGAGATAATGATGGGTAATAAAAATAAACATATGGCCTTGATACATTAAATTTTCTAACATCACATTGGTAATTCATTCAGAACCGGGAGCCAAAATTAGCTATGGTGAGGTTTTTGATGATTTAGTCAAAGATAAATCCAGTGTTCATGGCCACGAATATGATGTCTGTCTCAACTGCTGTAGATTGTATGGATTGGATGATGAAGAAGACGAATGTATCGACTGTGACCAAACGCGATATAAGACTAGCACTGAATTGATCAAGGTCGCCAACGCCAGTATGAAATTGATGTCTATCGGTGATCTTCTTTCCAATATGTTGGCTGATCCTCACACTAGAGACCTTCTAAATTATAGAGCCAACAGGGAATCAAGTAACATGCAAATGGGTTGTTGTGTTTTAAGGTAAGGTTTAAATTATAAAAAGACTATAGGAGTAGTTTGAGACTGTTTATAAGATTGTCCTTTATTAATAAATGAAATATACGAGTATTTATATAAAAGACTGTCTGCTGTGTTCATATCTCTAGTGCTATCTTGAAGTTATCATTGATTAACCAAAAATGTATACGATTATTACATAGTCACTAATTTAGTCTTGTTCTAATAAATGTTAAGTCTTCTTAACTCTCTTTGCTTTAAACTAAATTTTAAGTATTTCTCAGACGTACTAAATTAGACTTGTGATGTAATATCCTTATAGTTCTTACTATGACATTTATTGTTAAGCTTATATCACAAATGGTATCAGCATGGATAAACCTTTGTTAGCTCTAATATGGCTATAGCCTTGCTAGGTCACCACATGGGTGATATTTTCGATGGGAAAATTTACAAGGATTTGGTAAGAAAAGGATTGTTCTCCAATCCTGACGATATCGCCATTGGTCTTTACACGGATGGGTTTGTAAACCAAAAGAAGGGCAAAATTCTTTTACAATCATCCACATTGTGATATTCAATCTTGATCCTTCTATCAGGTAACAGCTTATACTGGTCTTAAAAGTTACAACTTTCTAAACACTAGACATTAGATACACAAACGAGCATATGTTACAGCTAGCAATTTTACCTGGTCCTAAAAAACCTACTCATCTGGATTCATTCTTGCGGCCCATCATCGACGAGTTAACGGATTTGGAAACCCATGGGCTTGTTGTTAAACGTGGTGATATCGAAATCTGTCGCTCCAAAGTATATTTGTTGCTGGCCTCTGGTGATATTCCAGCTGTGACGGATATGGCTCACATCGGTTCTCATACTAGTATATACGGTTGTCGTTTTTGTGAATCGAAAGGGAGAAGTCCAGACAATAAGTCTCATGGAAAGTATTTCGACAATAGTTCTGCCCTATTGAGACCACTGCAAGACTACATAACTGGAAATCCTGTAAGTATAATTGCTTGACCTTTTGTTTTATCGAGACTAATAAAGTGTACCTCCTATAGATAAAAAACATTCACCAACCTAGTGTTTTCAGTGAGCTATCGACATTTTCCGGTTCCTCATTTTTTGGGTTGGATGAGCTCCATCTTATAGCCAGAGGTATTGGCAAACATTTATACGATCTGATCACAGTAGAAATATCCAAAGATCAAAAGTACTACTATACAAAGCGAGATAAAACCGTCTCAATCGCCAACCATCTTTTCTACATCTCAAGAAACAATTTGGATATTATTGTGGATTGCATCACTTCATCTAGAAAGCATGTCCCCGTTTCTTTCCAGGGTAGCTTCGACAATGTTTTTGAAAAGATTGATGGTACACGTGCGGTGGATTGGTTGGTCTTCCTTTTGTACATTGCTCCCACACTGGTTGTGCCCTACCTGCCTAACAGGTCGGCCAAAAATAACGTCCTGTGCTTGGTCAAAGGCTGTGCTCTTGCATTGCAATGGGATCTTACACCATATCTTATCAATGAAATGGCGGGGTAAGTCAGTATACTAAAGTATTTGGATATCAGTTATTTAACAGAAATATATTACCTTTGACAGCTTCTGTCAGGAACGTGGCTAGGAATATATTATAGCAATAATATCAGAAGATACCTACTAGTTATACAAGACAAAGGAAGAGTGGTTTATAAAGTATTTAATAATAATAATAGATTATACAGGGAAGGGGAAGGATACAAGAGATACAAGAGATACAAGAGATACAAGATAATCGACATGGAACGGGGAAGGCAATGGAAAGGGGGAGTATTTATATCTTTTCAGATAACATGGGTTTGCATTGAAGAATGTCTTGGCTTACTTAATTAGTCTTAGTGTTGGTTTCAGCTTACGTGGCCGAAACCCATGAGTCATGATTACTGATTGCTTGGCGTCGGAGATACTTGAAAACGAGTCATGATTACTAATCTCTTGGAAGCGGAGGTTCGTTGCGTGGATAGTCTTGGAAGGTCCTGGAAGGTTCTGGACACTGGGGTTGTTGAATCTCAGTATGAGATTCCAGAACATTCCAGTAGTCGGGGATTCGTGGTCAGGGGCAAAGTGCAAAGTACGTGGTTCATGACAGCTTCTTTGCGACTTGGCACACGTATCTTCTGGGGCAAGTCAATCTAAAAAACATCTCTCGGAGCGTGTTTCGTCCTGTCCAACATTACTTGATTCACGTTCCATACATCATCAAGCAACAAGGTCCCTTGAGGTGTTACTCTGCAAGATCCATGGAGAGAGTGATTGGTGTATACTCAAAACTAATTAAATAAAGAAGAATGGGCCGTAGAAATGCAAGTATGCTCATTGAAAGATTTGCAATTCGTAATTTCATCAACGGCATTATCGATATTACGAGGGAAATTGATTTGATCGTACCAGCCGGACCAGGTGACATTGATTTCATGGATCTTCCTAATAGCCTGGATGATGTGCAGCTATGGGCGCATTTTGGTGGTAACGCCTCTCTGGATGTTGAGATGGTAGAAGGTATCAGATGCAGCCGAGCAAAGGATGCCTTATCTAGATATTACCGAAGATCTAGTGGTGTTAATGCTGCTACTTTTTTCGGTGATTCTGAAATTGCCATTGCTTCTCGTGCTTGGATAAACAAGAAGGTTTACTCCTCCAGCATGTACCGAAGACGAAGGAACGAGATAAGTTGGGGAAACCATTACGTGATGTTCACCACCAGCTATAAAAAGTAAGTCGATTCCTGTTTTCATTGAGTTAGCTTCTAACTCCTTTTTCTCTTTCTATTTTTACCTTAGCCACTCCCACGTTTCCCTTCGCTGCTGGCTTGTAGGTGCTGTTCAGTTCTTTTTCAAGCATGTTGACTTGAATAACATCCCACAGTTTTTGGTGCTAGTCGAAGTAATAAAACACCACAACCTGGCTCGATACGACAAGTCTGTTCCAATTGTCAAGGCTTGTTCAGGCTCAGCACAAGCAACATTCGCGGTCATCAATGTGGCAGACATTGAACATCAAGTTGGGTTAATTGAGATTCCTCCCAATGGAAACCAGTTCTACGTTATTGCCCCCTACTATGTATTCAACGATAATCTTCAAGCAAATAAAGGAAACCTTTTCATTTTGTAAGTTTTTGTAATTGCCATTCGTTTCATTACTTTTCTTTTTTTTTATGGAACACATGTCGAATAGTATAAGGTCATATTTTCTTGGGGCAAAATGATAATAAAAGAATCACAGAACCGAAAAAAGAACTTCTTTTTTTTTTAAGAAAAATAATAAATAAATCTGGTTTTTAAAATAATAAAAAAATGGCAGTTTGTTACCATTTGCTTCACAGGCGCAAAAAATTATTTTTTATACCGTAAACCATCAAATTCGGATCAATATTGCATCTAATTTTAACTTCGAGATAGTTTCTATAACATCTAAACTACATATTGACGGTTCCAGAAATGTTTTTGAAGTACTTTTGTTTTTTTATGATATTATGATCATTTGTAGCAATCTTTTGCTCGAATCTTATTGGCTGGGGATATCGACCAAATAAAAAAATCGCAGTTATGTTTCCATTTAATTCACAGCTGCTGGTATGTCCGCCATAGTGATTTACATAATAATGAATGATCATGTATAAATATTCATGGCTCACACTTCGCCCCATTTGTTATCATCAAAACCGTTGTTGTCTGTGCACAAGTTGATTCGCCTTGTGACGAGTAAAATATTATAATACCATAAAAGTATAGTACAATCCCATAGGCGGAATATTCGGTTACTGAATATTACACGCACTAAACTTTCTCTTTGGCATATACGTAATGTCACCTGCGGAGATGAATCTAGATCCTCACGTACTTTTGTCTTTACTTTGTAAGGCAAGAATTACTTCATAACATATTTATTTAAACAGACATTACGTATAACGTTATATCATATTCCTCTAACGCGTCACATATATTATCCGAAAGCCATCTAATCATTTAGTATAAATACCTGTAGTTTTTGCTAGTAGAATCCCCTAATCTAAATTTTCTCGAAATAAAAGATATACATAGTTCTAACAGTATTTTCTTTTGTTACCTTAATTTATATTTTATCTCCATCCCAAACAAAATACTTTCTGAATACTTCCAGTATGTCATTGGGACATTTTGCTCTCCTCGATTGCGTACTCGAATAGGTTCAGCAAGATATCTTGCTAGATCGTCCTCAAAAATGTCCAAGTCATACTGGGATACCGATGTTTTCTTGATACTGTCACTGACCAAGTATTCAAAAACATCTGCAACCTCTTCGAACTTCCTTTTTTGCCTTGATCTAGAGTATTACCAGTTTTTCTTTTAATTTTATGTTCATCAATGAACTTTGATTTACCTAATTGAATCGTCAATAAAAGCAGAGCTGCTAGCGTTTCTTGTCAGAAGAGGGTTACCAACCAAAAAACCAAAATTTTCATCGTCATCCATATTTTGAGTAGGATGGCGAATCGTGATGTACGTCTCGAACTTGTAGTTTTCGGTCCACTCATCCGTAACCACATTCACAGCCTGTTCAAAATACCCGCCTTCTTGCCAATCATTGTCCCTCCAATACTGGTATTTGTATCTTGGATCCATGGCAGTAGCAATCGAGTACACGTTACTGTCATCTGTTTTGGTGTAGTATTTTTCAAGTTTTTTATAGGCATTTTTTATTCCAAATCGAAGCTTGTTCTTGTTCATTTGCAATGTAGTGTTATTTTGATAAAGTTGATTATCGGGGTCGTCCAGGTTTCTTATAAATGTCTCCATAATTTCCATCAATGCATTATAAATTAAAATTGAATCACTAATTGTTGTTACTCTGTAATAGAATATTAATAAGCTGATAAAATATAATTCCGGGGGGATATACTTACTTTTCTGACTTACACTCTTTTAGTATGCAACATCTTGGTCGTTTAAAGCATATTTTCCAAGTTTCGAAGAGTTTGACAGACATGTCGAGTTGTAGGCCTTCTCTACCTCCAACCACCGATCGATCATCTCAAATGTGCTGCTCCAACGTGTTCGTGTATCGTACTTCAAAACAAGATACCTTTCCCCCTTGTAAATTGTGGAGAGCTGGTGCTTATACGATCTAGTGAGATTCGATGATTTTCTAATTTTAAAAGTTATTAGCGCACAGTAAGCCCTACAAATATATCACATTCAAATACCTGATCGTAAAAATTCCACGACGCATCTTGGATATGAGATTCTTATCATAATTAACCCCACTGTCATTTGGGTCTTCATCCACTTCAGAGTCACCATCCTCATCAACATCCATGCGTTCGTATTCCCCGCTAATACCATATTAAATATCTTCTTGTCTTTCGTCGTCCTCGGTGGCATGACGCATTTCCGTGTTGACTGTGGCGGTAGATCCAAAAGCTGTTTTCAAAAGCTGCTGAGCACATAAATTGATAACATGAGGGAGACATGGTAGAATGTTCTTTTTCCTTGAAAAAAAAAAGGTTCGGTTTCCAATGATATTCGTTCTAAAGAATCCCCCATCGTTAAGTTATTTGATCCGTTATCACAAACAATGAATGCAAGCTTCGACCGGATATCGTAATCATCAAGAACCCTCAAAAAAAAGGCAGCCAAATGTTCGCCAGTATGTGCCTCACTAGGTGCTTCTAGCCCAATAACAACTGACTTACGCTCCCAATTTGCATTAACATAATGAGCAACTAGACCCATGTAATCCTGTCCACTTGAAGATGTCCATATGTCGGTAAAGAAAGAAATTGACTGTTGATTTTGTAAAATTTGTCTGATCATCATTTTTTCTTCCAGGTATCTCTTCGAAATAAGTGTTTTTACAGTGTTGTCTGATGGGAGACTTACGGTTGTTGGGTTTGTTGCGTTTTGGCACGTGTTTAATAACTCTTGAAATTCATTATTGTCTACTACGTTGAACGGCAATCTTTGATGGATTATAAAATTGATGAGTTTCTACTGGAAAATGAATCTGTCGACAGGCTTTTGAATAGGGGACAAGAATGAAACAATTGATGTTGTTGTAGATGCTTTAGTTAAAGCAGCTAAATATTAATGTAAGTATTAAATAGTAGGCAAAATTTAAAAAGTTCATTACCTGTCGTCTTTGTAAGACCATGAACATCCACTAAATGTCTTCTAATTGCAGAGTTATTCGAGTCTTTGTACTCGTAATTCTTATGACTTCCATGGGTACAATCACAATTGCACATATAAAATGTCTTGTTACTAGAATCTTTAACTTTGATTGAGTGGCCATACTGATGTACGTAGCTGGCATCCTTTCGTCAGCTAGGAATTGATACAACAGGAGTTGGGAAGTAATGGACACTAGATAAAAGCTCCAGATTTTTTTTTCTTGTACAGACTAGCCTCGTCGCCTTTCAAGTATCGGGATTGAATTAAAACTAAATCATCAGATTGCTGGCTGACATTGGATAACAAAGCCGGAATAGAAAAAGCTTGCTCATCTTGACGATCTGTAGTCACAGAGAGATCATTCTCACCAGTGCTATTTTCAATACTTAAAAGATAGTTCATATCACTGATTGATAGGTCATAGTTTCCAGTTAATTGGTTACGATACATGTTTACTGAAATTAAGTTCAGAATATAATGCGAAAAAGACATAAGCTTTACACTTCCCTTTATATACGTTTTCTATGGTTCTGATTGTTGTGTTATTTCCAATCATTATGCAATGACCAGCATCTATTTTTACTCCAAAAGCTATGAATAACCTGACAGAATATTTAATAATAGAGAAGTGTTTGTTGGTAACAGTTGTACTTCCTGTGCTTGTACGCCATAACTGACAATTTTCTCTTAACAGAGAATGTTATTGTTTCGTTACATTTCTGCAATTGCGAAATAATTTCGTTCTAAGCTTTAAGTTGGAACTGCTATTGTAAGAATTGTAAAAAACTGTTGCTATAGTTTTCAAAGTTTTCAATAGGATTGCATTAGAACATGTGTCATGATTAGAAAGTTAAACAAAAAGGAAAAAAAATTTTTTTTTTTTCACCAGCCTTAACACCAAATTCGGACACTTAAATCAAACTGTCACTGAACCTATAAATTTAATACAGTTGGATTTGTGAACATGAAAGTTGAAATCAACTCTGCTACGTCATGTTATTATGGTTGCTGTAAAAATTCGGCTTAGTTGGGTTTAGTGTGCAATACTGCATCATATCCTATGCTAAATGTGTTTGTTGGTTGTACTATTAAATAAAAGTTTAAAGCATTTTAGTTGGAATTATTAGAGAAAAAAATGGTCAAGGGAAGAAAAGAGTAAAATCAAGGAGAAATGCTTTCACTAGTCTTTCAAGGACCTTAACTTTAAAGTGACTACTATCGACATTTTAGCCGAGCGAGCTTCGATCGATGCTCGCTCGAAGCTCGCTCGAACCCAAAAGAAGTGGCGCAAGCTCGAGTACAAAAACTCAGTTCGAGCTTCGTTCGAACTGGCGCAAGATCGGTGCAAGCACGAAAAGTACGAACACTAGTGTTGCCGTTAAAACCGTTCATGAAGTTCTCGCTGGTGTAATTTTGGAAACTTATTTTTTTAAATTGGATGATAAAAGGGATAGAGAGAGAAGGGGCTGCAAATAAAACTTTATTTTAGAAAAAGACATTATCGTGAATTCAGTAGTCCGTTTTGGGTTTTTTTTTCAAGTAACAGGAGGGTTTTCGGTACTGTCAGATTTTCATCCTTAATTTGTGAGAAATTCGAGAGTGATAATAGCGGATTAGGAATAAAATGAGAAATTTAACAAAATGAAATTATTAAACAAATAAAAAGTAGTATATATATACACATTATTTCTGACATTGATCACAGATGGGCTGATGACGGTTTTAGGTAGATTTATCCAGATAATACTCGGATGTAATGATCCCATATAGTAGAAAGGCTATAATGAGATGTCAAGAACAATAACAATAACATTCATTCTTAAACTGTGTATGTCTTGCAGCACAATATTCAGGGGAAAATGTAGTTCTTAATTGATATAACTGTGGCACCTCAATTTGGATGATGTAATCTTCATATGTTTTCATATCAATGTTATTATTTAAATGTATATCTTATACTTGTATGAAGGATGATATGAGATCAAGACTGTACATAAAGTAAATGATCAGTATTTAATATAACAGTATCAATAAGAATTATATTTAGGATTATCAAATGGAAGATTTAAGAAGTGTATATAGAGTCATATATGAAGTATATAGCCTCGATCACGACACCAACAAAAGTTTCTTGCACAATATCATCCCCGAATATTTTCCTTCTGCTACTTGTATCCATTGTCCACTAACCGAGGATACTCTACACCAATTCTTATATGATTGTCCCATAAAAAAATCTATTTGGCTCCAGTGTTTATCCACCTTCTTTCCAGACGTGCCCATCGAACCTGGTAAAATATTATCTATATCCCTTTCGCTTGACTATGGTAACTTTCAAAACAAAAAGTTAACAATTGTCACGTCGTTATCTTTAATGTCCATTATTGGCTGCATATTACTCGGGATCTGGAGATCTCATTGGAAACTTGTCTTTGACAATCAACCCTTCACAATTGCCACGGTGCTCCCACTCTGCTCTTCTATTGTATGGTAATTACACTTCCAATCGCTGTTCGATTAATAACGACGTAATTTCATTTACAAGCTACTTCGATCGCCTTTGTTGTCCTAATTGTAACTCGTTGACATTATTCTTCGTCACTTTGGAAAAAAAAAGCAAAAAGAAAAAGAAAAACAAATCATTTCCCCATTAAATCTTAATTCCTCTTTAGTCCCACCGGGACATTAACTAAAATTTTGAAAGACAGCTGCGCTGTCTTTCCCTACAAAAAAAGTGTATAGGGGGTGAAAGTGACGATAACTAAAATAACATGAATCCCGGGCTGTGGTTTTGTCACTAGTTGTTTCCTGCATATGACTAATTTAAAACTTATCGAACTTAAAAATCGTAAATTATTAAGTAAAAAAAAATAGATAGCACAACTACGCTGAAGCGTATTAAAAAACTGTCTTTCAAATCCCGCTGGCGCCGTCACGTTTTAGCGCAGCATTTTTTTATTCATAAAGCAAGGGTTGTTTTTGTTATTTTTATTTTCCTCTTTTTCCTTTTGTTTGTAAAGCCTAGTTTTAAAAATGACCGTGATTTTTCTGCTTGATGAGTAAGTATTTCTTATACATTTCAAAATGACAGTAATTACTGAATAATTCTAACTTTACATTGCTCAGATTATTGTTTCATTTGCGAATTGCTCTTTTCTTCGCGGTAACGCTCTTTGGCTTTTTCTTTGCTCTCCTTCAGGAAAATGTAGCTCCTTTTCTTCGTCTTCTTTGGCTACGCGTCAAAATAAAAAGAAGACCACCAACCATTCATCCTTTCTGGGAGCTACCAGAAAAATGTGTTCTTTTCGACGGGGTAATCATGCCCGTATCATGCCAAAAAAGCATGAATAACAACAGCAACAGCAACAGCAACAGCAACAGCAACAGCAACAGCAACAGCAACAGCAACAGCAACAGCAACAGCAACAGCAACAGCAACAGCAACAGCAACAGCAACAGCAACAGCAACAGCAACAGCAACAGCAAAAACAACAGCAAAAACATCGATTTGTCTGCTTTTGCTGGATCTGGCGAGAGTGTGGTCCATTATCCAAATGCCACTACCACTCAGGCTCAAAAAACCGTCCCTTGTTCTGTTCTTTGGTGTCCTTGTTGGGCAAACGGGCCTTGTCTAGGCCCCGGTACGGCGTCGACACCTGCTCGAAGTATTTCTTGTTTTGTCCGCCCCCGTGTTTCTGCCTCCTGGGTGTATGGCTGCGAAGCCATCGCCCAGGCATGGCTTTCTGAAAACAAGGTTGAAGTTTCTTCTGGTCCTGTTGTTTTCCCTTCGCCTCGTTTGGTATCTGTGGCTTCTTCTGCGGGCACCTCTGTGTCTTCCTTGGCCTCTGTGGGATCCTCTGCTGCGTCCTGTTTGACTTCTTTGGCCAGTGAGAGTCACTCTGTTGTTTCGTTTTCGTCCGTTTTGGCTTCGGTGTCGGCGTGCTCGTCCTCCTCTGCGCCTCTTTCGGCCTCTGTTGATCCTTCGTCGTCCTCCTCAGAGCCTCTCTTGAGCTCTGTAGGTCCTTCTGCGGGTCCTTGCACCCCTCTGTTGGAGTCTTTGGATTCTTCTGTTTCCCTCTCTGTGGCTCCCGTGGCCCCTGCGGTTACCGTAACCTCTGTGGGTACCTCTGTTGGGTCCTCTTCACCTTCTTTGGACTCTGAGGGTCAGTCAATAGATCCTTTGTTGCCTGGTTCGGCTTCGGTGTCTCCGTGTGCTCCTTCTTCCTCGCCTCTTTTGGCTCCTGAGGATCCTTCTGGATCCTCATCATTGTCTCTCTTTGGGTCGGTAGGTTCTTCTGTTGCTTCTTGCGTCCCTCCCTTGGACTCTTTGGGTTCTTCTGTTCCCCTCTCTGTGGCTACCGTGGCCTCTGTGGGAACCTCTGTTGGCTCCTCTTTGCCTTCTTTCGCTTCTGAGGGTCAATCGATAGATCCTTTGTTGCCTCTCTTGGGGTGTGTGGGTGATTCTGCTGTTCCTTGTTCGCCTCCCTTGGAGTCTGTGGGCTCTCCTGGCTCCCCTTCTGCGTCTCCCGTGGTCTCTGTTGATCCCTGTTTTCCCTCCTCTTCCCCTCTTTTGGCTTGTTCTGCGCCCTCCTCAATGCCTATTTCGGTGTCTGTAGGATCGTCTGTTGCTGCTAGCGCTCCTGCCTCTGACTCCGTGGGTTCCTCTGCTCTGTCGTCGTCGTCTCTCTCGGCGTCTGTGGCTCCATTTGTGGTTCCAATTGTGCCTGTGGTGCCCTCGTCTCGTGTTGCTCCTTTTTTGGCTTCCTTGTCGTCGTCCGTGGACGAACAGGAAAGTCTGCCCGATTTGGGCGAAAAGAGAAAAACAGCCCTGTCTTCGCCCTCCTCTTCCCCTGTGCCGACGCACACTTACGGTCTTGGTTGCGTCTCTGTCAGCGGTCTCCTTGTCCCTGCTGCCCGTGCTCCTCCTGGTCGGGTTATAGCGAAGCCTAAACCCTCGGCTGCTCAAAAGGCCAGAGAGGAGCAGGAGGAGCAGGACATCTTGGATTTCCTTGATGAAGACAGTAAGTCTTAATTTTTTATATTCTTTTTGATAGTTTTACTAACCATCTATTTTATATTTTGTAGAGGTGGCCGCGGACAGAGAACTTTTCTTTTCTTTTTTTCAAAAGAAATAAAGTTGTATATATTTTTTTTTACCTTTTCGAAAATCAGTTATGGAAGTGATTGAGAAATATATCACAGCGGCTTTTTTATATGAGTTTAATGGGGATTTAAAACCGGATAGCATTTACTGGGTAACACTCGTGGTTTTTTAATGCAACGTATTGCAACAGGGTAAGATAATCACGAACATAGCATTATCGCAATGTATATGCCTTATTTCAGTGATGAAGAAATACATCGTTTCTTGCCGGCCAGTTTCAGTTTTTTGTGATTTCGAGTTTGTGTCAGCGAAGGCTTTTGGTATACTTAAAACGAGGTCTCAGTTTGAAATACAGAAACACTTGTGGTAGCTAGTAGTGTTCGAATTTTTTGAGATTGCACCGATATTGCGCCAGTTGGAACGAAGCTCGGACAGAGTTTTTGTACTCGAGCGTGCGCCAGTTTTTTTTGGGTTCGAGTGATCTCGCTCGGCTAAAATGTCGATAGTAGTCACTTTAAAGGTAATGCTCTTGAGAGACAAGTGATGGCTTTTTCCTTTGACTTTACTCTTTTTTTCCCTTTGCCATTTTGTTCTATTTATGCTCAAACATTTCCGGTAAAGTGCTTTATCCTATAATTAAATTGTACAACCAACAAAGACATTCATCATAGATACGATACAATGTTGGACACTAAACCCAAATAAGCCAAATGTTTAATAAAATGACGTAGCAGAGTTGATTTCAACTTTCATGTTCACAAATCCAACTGTATTAAATTTATAGGTTCAGTGACAGTTTGATTTAAGTGTCCGAATTTGGTGTTAAGGCTGGTGAAAAAAAAAATTTTTTTTTTCCTTTTTGTTTAACTTTCTAATCATGACACATGTTCTAATGCAATCCTATTGAAAACTTTGAAAACTATAGCAACAGTTTTTTACAATTCTTACAATAGCAGTTCCAACTTAAAGCTTAGAACGAAATTATTTCGCAATTGCAGAAATGTAACGAAACAATAACATTCTCTGTTAAGAGAAAATTGTCAGTTATGGCGTACAAGCACAGGAAGTACAACTGTTACCAACAAACACTTCTCTATTATTAAATATTCTGTCAGGTTATTCATAGCTTTTGGAGTAAAAATAGATGCTGGTCATTGCATAATGATTGGAAATAACACAACAATCAGAACCATAGAAAACGTATATAAAGGGAAGTGTAAAGCTTATGTCTTTTTCGCATTATATTCTGAACTTAATTTCAGTAAACATGTATCGTAACCAATTAACTGGAAACTATGACCTATCAATCAGTGATATGAACTATCTTTTAAGTATTGAAAATAGCACTGGTGAGAATGATCTCTCTGTGACTACAGATCGTCAAGATGAGCAAGCTTTTTCTATTCCGGCTTTGTTATCCAATGTCAGCCAGCAATCTGATGATTTAGTTTTAATTCAATCCCGATACTTGAAAGGCGACGAGGCTAGTCTGTACAAGAAAAAAAAATCTGGAGCTTTTATCTAGTGTCCATTACTTCCCAACTCCTGTTGTATCAATTCCTAGCTGACGAAAGGATGCCAGCTACGTACATCAGTATGGCCACTCAATCAAAGTTAAAGATTCTAGTAACAAGACATTTTATATGTGCAATTGTGATTGTACCCATGGAAGTCATAAGAATTACGAGTACAAAGACTCGAATAACTCTGCAATTAGAAGACATTTAGTGGATGTTCATGGTCTTACAAAGACGACAGGTAATGAACTTTTTAAATTTTGCCTACTATTTAATACTTACATTAATATTTAGCTGCTTTAACTAAAGCATCTACAACAACATCAATTGTTTCATTCTTGTCCCCTATTCAAAAGCCTGTCGACAGATTCATTTTCCAGTAGAAACTCATCAATTTTATAATCCATCAAAGATTGCCGTTCAACGTAGTAGACAATAATGAATTTCAAGAGTTATTAAACACGTGCCAAAACGCAACAAACCCAACAACCGTAAGTCTCCCATCAGACAACACTGTAAAAACACTTATTTCGAAGAGATACCTGGAAGAAAAAATGATGATCAGACAAATTTTACAAAATCAACAGTCAATTTCTTTCTTTACCGACATATGGACATCTTCAAGTGGACAGGATTACATGGGTCTAGTTGCTCATTATGTTAATGCAAATTGGGAGCATAAGTCAGTTGTTATTGGGCTAGAAGCACCTAGTGAGGCACATACTGGCGAACATTTGGCTGCCTTTTTTTTTAGGGTTCTTGATGATTACGATATCCGGTCGAAGCTTGCATTCATTGTTTGTGATAACGGATCAAATAACTTAACGATGGGGGATTCTTTAGAACGAATATCATTGGAAACCGGAACCTTTTTTTTTTCAAGGAAAAAGAACATTCTACCATGTCTCCCTCATGTTATCAATTTATGTGCTCAGCAGCTTTTGAAAACAGCTTTTGGATCTACCGCCACAGTCAACACGGAAATGCGTCATGCCACCGAGGACGACGAAAGACAAGAAGATATTTAATATGGTATTAGCGGGGAATACGAACGCATGGATGTTGATGAGGATGGTGACTCTGAAGTGGATGAAGACCCAAATGACAGTGGGGTTAATTATGATAAGAATCTCATATCCAAGATGCGTCGTGGAATTTTTACGATCAGGTATTTGAATGTGATATATTTGTAGGGCTTACTGTGCGCTAATAACTTTTAAAATTAGAAAATCATCGAATCTCACTAGATCGTATAAGCACCAGCTCTCCACAATTTACAAGGGGGAAAGGTATCTTGTTTTGAAGTACGATACACGAACACGTTGGAGCAGCACATTTGAGATGATCGATCGGTGGTTGGAGGTAGAGAAGGCCTACAACTCGACATGTCTGTCAAACTCTTCGAAACTTGGAAAATATGCTTTAAACGACCAAGATGTTGCATACTAAAAGAGTGTAAGTCAGAAAAGTAAGTATATCCCCCCGGAATTATATTTTATCAGCTTATTAATATTCTATTACAGAGTAACAACAATTAGTGATTCAATTTTAATTTATAATGCATTGATGGAAATTATGGAGACATTTATAAGAAACCTGGACGACCCCGATAATCAACTTTATCAAAATAACACTACATTGCAAATGAACAAGAACAAGCTTCGATTTGGAATAAAAAATGCCTATAAAAAACTTGAAAAATACTACACCAAAACAGATGACAGTAACGTGTACTCGATTGCTACTGCCATGGATCCAAGATACAAATACCAGTATTGGAGGGACAATGATTGGCAAGAAGGCGGGTATTTTGAACAGGCTGTGAATGTGGTTACGGATGAGTGGACCGAAAACTACAAGTTCGAGACGTACATCACGATTCGCCATCCTACTCAAAATATGGATGACGATGAAAATTTTGGTTTTTTGGTTGGTAACCCTCTTCTGACAAGAAACGCTAGCAGCTCTGCTTTTATTGACGATTCAATTAGGTAAATCAAAGTTCATTGATGAACATAAAATTAAAAGAAAAACTGGTAATACTCTAGATCAAGGCAAAAAAGGAAGTTCGAAGAGGTTGCAGATGTTTTTGAATACTTGGTCAGTGACAGTATCAAGAAAACATCGGTATCCCAGTATGACTTGGACATTTTTGAGGACGATCTAGCAAGATATCTTGCTGAACCTATTCGAGTACGCAATCGAGGAGAGCAAAATGTCCCAATGACATACTGGAAGTATTCAGAAAGTATTTTGTTTGGGATGGAGATAAAATATAAATTAAGGTAACAAAAGAAAATACTGTTAGAACTATGTATATCTTTTATTTCGAGAAAATTTAGATTAGGGGATTCTACTAGCAAAAACTACAGGTATTTATACTAAATGATTAGATGGCTTTCGGATAATATATGTGACGCGTTAGAGGAATATGATATAACGTTATACGTAATGTCTGTTTAAATAAATATGTTATGAAGTAATTCTTGCCTTACAAAGTAAAGACAAAAGTACGTGAGGATCTAGATTCATCTCCGCAGGTGACATTACGTATATGCCAAAGAGAAAGTTTAGTGCGTGTAATATTCAGTAACCGAATATTCCGCCTATGGGATTGTACTATACTTTTATGGTATTATAATATTTTACTCGTCACAAGGCGAATCAACTTGTGCACAGACAACAACGGTTTTGATGATAACAAATGGGGCGAAGTGTGAGCCATGAATATTTATACATGATCATTCATTATTATGTAAATCACTATGGCGGACATACCAGCAGCTGTGAATTAAATGGAAACATAACTGCGATTTTTTTATTTGGTCGATATCCCCAGCCAATAAGATTCGAGCAAAAGATTGCTACAAATGATCATAATATCATAAAAAAACAAAAGTACTTCAAAAACATTTCTGGAACCGTCAATATGTAGTTTAGATGTTATAGAAACTATCTCGAAGTTAAAATTAGATGCAATATTGATCCGAATTTGATGGTTTACGGTATAAAAAATAATTTTTTGCGCCTGTGAAGCAAATGGTAACAAACTGCCATTTTTTTATTATTTTAAAAACCAGATTTATTTATTATTTTTCTTAAAAAAAAAAGAAGTTCTTTTTTCGGTTCTGTGATTCTTTTATTATCATTTTGCCCCAAGAAAATATGACCTTATACTATTCGACATGTGTTCCATAAAAAAAAAGAAAAGTAATGAAACGAATGGCAATTACAAAAACTTACAAAATGAAAAGGTTTCCTTTATTTGCTTGAAGATTATCGTTGAATACATAGTAGGGGGCAATAACGTAGAACTGGTTTCCATTGGGAGGAATCTCAATTAACCCAACTTGATGTTCAATGTCTGCCACATTGATGACCGCGAATGTTGCTTGTGCTGAGCCTGAACAAGCCTTGACAATTGGAACAGACTTGTCGTATCGAGCCAGGTTGTGGTGTTTTATTACTTCGACTAGCACCAAAAACTGTGGGATGTTATTCAAGTCAACATGCTTGAAAAAGAACTGAACAGCACCTACAAGCCAGCAGCGAAGGGAAACGTGGGAGTGGCTAAGGTAAAAATAGAAAGAGAAAAAGGAGTTAGAAGCTAACTCAATGAAAACAGGAATCGACTTACTTTTTATAGCTGGTGGTGAACATCACGTAATGGTTTCCCCAACTTATCTCGTTCCTTCGTCTTCGGTACATGCTGGAGGAGTAAACCTTCTTGTTTATCCAAGCACGAGAAGCAATGGCAATTTCAGAATCACCGAAAAAAGTAGCAGCATTAACACCACTAGATCTTCGGTAATATCTAGATAAGGCATCCTTTGCTCGGCTGCATCTGATACCTTCTACCATCTCAACATCCAGAGAGGCGTTACCACCAAACGGCGCCCATAGCTGCACATCATCCAGGCTATTAGGAAGATCCATGAAATCAATGTCACCTGGTCCGGCTGGTACGATCAAATCAATTTCCCTCGTAATATCGATAATGCCGTTGATGAAATTACGAATTGCAAATCTTTCAATGAGCATACTTGCATTTCTACGGCCCATTCTTCTTTATTTAATTAGTTTTGAGTATACACCAATCACTCTCTCCATGGATCTTGCAGAGTAACACCTCAAGGGACCTTGTTGCTTGATGATGTATGGAACGTGAATCAAGTAATGTTGGACAGGACGAAACACGCTCCGAGAGATGTTTTTTAGATTGACTTGCCCCAGAAGATACGTGTGCCAAGTCGCAAAGAAGCTGTCAAAGGTAATATATTTCTGTTAAATAACTGATATCCAAATACTTTAGTATACTGACTTACCCCGCCATTTCATTGATAAGATATGGTGTAAGATCCCATTGCAATGCAAGAGCACAGCCTTTGACCAAGCACAGGACGTTATTTTTGGCCGACCTGTTAGGCAGGTAGGGCACAACCAGTGTGGGAGCAATGTACAAAAGGAAGACCAACCAATCCACCGCACGTGTACCATCAATCTTTTCAAAAACATTGTCGAAGCTACCCTGGAAAGAAACGGGGACATGCTTTCTAGATGAAGTGATGCAATCCACAATAATATCCAAATTGTTTCTTGAGATGTAGAAAAGATGGTTGGCGATTGAGACGGTTTTATCTCGCTTTGTATAGTAGTACTTTTGATCTTTGGATATTTCTACTGTGATCAGATCGTATAAATGTTTGCCAATACCTCTGGCTATAAGATGGAGCTCATCCAACCCAAAAAATGAGGAACCGGAAAATGTCGATAGCTCACTGAAAACACTAGGTTGGTGAATGTTTTTTATCTATAGGAGGTACACTTTATTAGTCTCGATAAAACAAAAGGTCAAGCAATTATACTTACAGGATTTCCAGTTATGTAGTCTTGCAGTGGTCTCAATAGGGCAGAACTATTGTCGAAATACTTTCCATGAGACTTATTGTCTGGACTTCTCCCTTTCGATTCACAAAAACGACAACCGTATATACTAGTATGAGAACCGATGTGAGCCATATCCGTCACAGCTGGAATATCACCAGAGGCCAGCAACAAATATACTTTGGAGCGACAGATTTCGATATCACCACGTTTAACAACAAGCCCATGGGTTTCCAAATCCGTTAACTCGTCGATGATGGGCCGCAAGAATGAATCCAGATGAGTAGGTTTTTTAGGACCAGGTAAAATTGCTAGCTGTAACATATGCTCGTTTGTGTATCTAATGTCTAGTGTTTAGAAAGTTGTAACTTTTAAGACCAGTATAAGCTGTTACCTGATAGAAGGATCAAGATTGAATATCACAATGTGGATGATTGTAAAAGAATTTTGCCCTTCTTTTGGTTTACAAACCCATCCGTGTAAAGACCAATGGCGACATCGTCAGGATTGGAGAACAATCCTTTTCTTACCAGATCCTTGTAAATTTTCCCATCGAAAATATCACCCATTTGCATGTTACTTGATTCCCTGTTGGCTCTATAATTTAGAAGGTCTCTAGTGTGAGGATCAGCCAACATATTGCAAAGAAGATCACCGATAGACATCAATTTCATACTGGCGTTGGCGACCTTGATCAATTCAGTGCTAGTCTTATATCGCGTTTGGTCACAGTCGATACATTCGTCTTCTTCATCATCCAATCCATACAATCTAAAGCAGTTGAGACAGACATCATATTCGTGGCCATGAACACTGGATTTATCTTTGACTAAATCATCAAAAACCTCACCATAGCTAATTTTGGCTCCCGGTTCTGAATGAATCACCAATGTGATGTTAGAAAATTTAATGTATCAAGGCCATATGTTTATTTTTATTACCCATCATTATCTCAATGTGGTCCCGAATAACCGTATTAACAGAACTTCCAATGTCCCTGTAAGCAGCTCGGGCTATCTTTTGTTCCAGCATCATTTGGGAAAGATGAATGCTCATTAATTCAGCTTTTGTGAATGTGTTGGAGCCGATTCTACTGGCTTGCCTTCATTTTCTTCAAAGCTGCATACGCAATTGTAATTGATTTGGTCGTCAACATCCATGCCAACAGGGTTATAGACTAAAAATACCTTGTAAGTTATTTTTTAAATAAGGGGATAATGTAGTTATTTGTACCCTAATTACTGACGTCTCCATTATCAGCGAAATTATAATTGCTTTCTTGCATATCGGTATCTTCAGATGTTGTTGTTCTTATCTGAACGCTCTTATGGTTTTGGAGTTGACGGTAACTGTCAAAGATCATCGAACAGCTGTCACATTCAAAAACTTCACGAGGAAGTCTATCTCTTTGTCTGTTGGCATTTGACGAAGAAGAGGGAGGGAATAACATTTGAAAATTTTGATATTTGTGGAAGTGTGATTTATATTTGGAAAATGTAACCGGTGTAAGTAATGTATATATGTAATATGCTTTTTATATGCTCAATATCTTAAGTTTAAAATCGCTTTTTAATTTTTTTCCCTTTCATAGTGACATACGTCAATGATGCAAGTTTCCTGGAAGATGACGACAGGTGCGATATATTATTAGCTATGGTCTTCGACCTTAAGTATTAATTTCACTTTTGTTTCCGTCATTTAAATTTTTAAACGCCATGACATGACGACATGTCGTCCAAAAAAAAAAAAAAAGAAAAAAAAACAAACAAAAAAAAACAAACAAAAAAAAACAATAATAAAAAAAAAAAAAAAAAAAAAAATAAACAAAAAAACAAAAAAAATGACATAATTTAGATAAGCAGACAATTCAACTCCAAGTAACTAAAGGTGGGATAAAAGTATATTACATGTACTAGCATATCTTCTTTCAACTTTTTTATACCTTTTTATTCATTAAAAAAATTTATTTTAAACAAACATTTCCAAATGTCTAATATGAATATTGCACTCACCAATTCTTTTCGTAAAATTGAACTTGACGTTACCGAGATCAAACGAATGCTAGCTGCGCTGTCTGATCAGTTCAAAAATCAATTTGCATCAAACATCATCGATGAAGATGTAAATATGATACAAAAAAGTATCGTCGAACAAAGTGGTAAAGCATATCCTTCCCAGATTCTGATAATCGTGACTGAATCAGTTTTTTCTGTATATTTTTTTAGCTCTTGATCGAATCACCGAGTCGGTAAAAAGATCCCAAGTGATTGAATATCCTGATCAGCTTGGTAAACGAACGAATGACACAAATTCTGAAGAGTTTGAAGGAAAGAAGGTCTCGGATAGACTTAATGTACTGCTGCAACGTTTACACACAAAAGACTGGCAGTTATTTTGTAAGGATATTCCCGATGATCAACAAAAGCCACCTCTAGTCCCAACTTCACAACGTGATTTGGAGAGCAAACGAGTTCAGTTGAAGTCACTGGCACGTTCGTTGAAGCATGATTTAATTGACCTGGACCACCCTGACGTGTTAAAAAACTGGAAGGATATCCCGGCAAATGATAGGGATTTTTACATGTTACGCCTGGAAAAGCTAGCGAATGACAAGGGATTCCAAATATACCAGTGTAAGAGAATGTGGTGTGCCAAAAGCTTGTTAAGGGAGAGCTTTAAAAGTGACAACCAAACACACAGAAGAAGGGTAGCAGTAAAAAATTCGTTAGTGGTTTATTTCATCAATATCGTTAACAAGGTAAAAAAATGTAGAATCAACAAGATCCCGATAGTTCAGACTCTATCAATGAAGCTTTCGAAGATATGGGTCGCGATGAGTCCCCCATCATAGCAGACGTGCCGTAAGTTTTTTTTATTGTTTTTCATGCATGATATATGTATACTCATATGCGATGATTATTTTTTATACAGTTCTCCTCCACCAGAGGTAGCGAATGAACCTTCACGTAAAAGAACCAGAAGAAGATCATAGTCGTGTCTGGTCGACATGATTGGTCCATTCTGGTTTTTAGCTTCTTTATTAGTGTGTATTTTAGCGTTCTTTTAGCTTACAATTTTTTCTCTCTTTCTTTTACTTTTATTTATCTTTTAAAATAAATAGCCTTCAAATAACGATGGTAAGGGTATATAGCCCCTTCAAAATAACGGAAAGTGTGAACAAATATGTTGGAATTGGGTATGTTTGCAATGACTGAAGCAATGACATGTAATCTGTATAAAAAACTAAAGGGGGGTTTTTTTTTTAGAAAAAATTTAGCCTATTTTTTTTATTTTGATCAAAATGAAGTACGTTTGTATAATATAATCATATTCCATAGATAATGGTCCTCATCAATATACGGTTCTATCTTTACAGGTAAATAGCCTTTAAAAAATTACGTTTTATTCTTGCTGATATCATACTGCTTACATATAGACTATTTATTTTGTGTACCTTTCACTCAAACGACGACATTTTAGGAACATCACCGGTCAAATAATCATCGACATCAGAACTTAAGGCTGATAATAAAATACAGAATTAATTACAATATTACTATTTTCTAACAATACCTTTATAGAGTGTTAAGAGAGTCAAAGGTAAGCTAAAGTAACATCCAAGCATTATAATGGCATATCTTATTGCCATGTATACAACCTAAAACCTAAATAAAAAGGTTAAAGTTATATCAAACCCTCCTATACACCACTGAAATTTAAATAAACAATCCAATAAAACGTGCTTTACTGCCAATAATAACGATGAATAAGAAAATGTGAGCCTACCAAATATAAAAGAATGGGTCTAAAAAAAAGGTTAAGGGTTTGTCTGTTTAAAAAAATGGCAGCTGTGAACATTTTGTTATTATAGAATATCATAACTGCCACATTTACAAGCCAGGAAAATGGAAGCTGTGAATGATTTGTCTTCAACAAACTAAAATAGATGCTATTTTTTAAAACCAAAAAACAGCAGCAGTGAACCTCTTCGCTTCATTCAACTGTTAAAGGTGCCATTTTTGCCAGCCGAAAATATGGCAGCTGTGCCTCTTTTGTTACTATAGAATATCATATCTGCCACTTTTGCACGCCAGAAAAATGGCAGTTTTGTGAAATAAATGGCAGATAGCTGCCATTATTTCCGCCATAGTGAATGTGATGATTCTTTTATTATAATCTATGACATCCTCAACATATTTATCCAGATCTTGCTAAAATGGCACGCAAATTCCTCTCCCCGCCTGCTTCATCTACGTCTTGCGAAAGATTATTTAGTACTTGTAAGCATTTTCTTACACAACTAGATCTCAACTAACTGCCGAGAGTCTTAAAGAAAGCGTTCTTCTTCACCATTGGCTTAAAGACAATACTCACTAATACCTTTTTCTTTTTCTTTGTCTTTTTTTTATTATAATTTTTTTTTATTCTTTTTTTTTTTACATCTTATTTACTACTTTCTTTCATCACTTGTTTTTTTTTGTAGATTTTTATTTATTTTATTTTTAACTTCAACTTCTTTTTCAATAAACAATAAATTTAATATCATAACTTTACGTAATTAACATCACTTTCACGTGCACTTTGTGTAATAAAGAGGCGAGCGAGTTCGAACACTCGTATTTGCAACCGAGCCGAGCTTAAGAAATTTCGAGCGAGTTCGAGCTTCAAAAAAACGCATTCGAGCGAGCTTCGACTGGAACACAATCGAAGCCCGCTCGAGAGTTTCGATCTTCATTCCGAACACTAATTAGAACAAGACTTTTTTGTAACTTCGTAATATTCGTATACATTTTTGTTTAATCAATGATAACTTCAAGATAGCACTAAATATATGAACAAAGCCGACATTTTTTTATATTAATACTCGTATATTTCCTTTATTATTAAAGACATCTCATAAACAGTCTCAAACCACTCCTATAGTCTTTCTATAATTTTACTTTACTTTAAAACACGACATTTCCGAAAGAATTTCATAATTAAGAACACCACCAGCACAATTACTATTTCTTTTAAGGATATCATGGATACAATAAGAAAGTTAATTATCACATCCTAGAAAGGATGAATGGTAGTATGAATGTCATCATGAATCCCATATTACCCCGCTTTTTTCGATCCCATCGCTGAATTGTGTACACAGCGTAAAATCTTGTGACGAGTAAATACTTATTCTGGGAGGTACAAAAAATCGAGTAGGTTCGTGCTATAGAATATTAATAGATACTGAGCCTAAATATTATCATTGTCATTTGATGTTTCTACTACGGTTGATCCATCAGCGTAACATTTATATACTTAGTATAGCAGGGCTAAACAAAAAAGCATGTCATTTATTTATTATCACCAGAGTACTACATCAAGACGCAATAAGACGATAAAAATTCTCTCAGAACTATTTAATTCTATATAACAATAGTTTTGTCTTGTTGATCATCGTACTTGTTATAGTTAATTATTAATTTTTTCGTCCAAGAATTTAAGTGGTAACGAGTTTCTAACATTTTCAATTTTCATTTTGTTAAGCGTGCAAAACAATTTCGGAAAAAAAGAGGGGTGAAGAAGTGATTGTTGTATTCGAGGAGTATATACACCACAGTATTGGTATACTCCGACGATTGAAGTAATTTATCATTTTTCATATTTTGACATATGTCAGCTGCTCATCTAAAATTCACGTAGCACTAAGGGGAATTTCCCTGTTACGGACTGTTATTTTTATTATCCTTGATGTACCTTGCGGGATATTGACAGTTTGGATGATTTATAATGAAATCTACCCACGATGGTAGTTTTCCCGTTTACAGTTATGGTTATGTTCAATGTGTATAAAAGAACTCTTTATTTTTATATTTAATAAAAGGAAGTGATTTTGCAATCCGGTTATTAATTAGTCTTATAGATTATTTTCTTTGTTGTATTTTTCAGTGATTCTTAAAATTCAGCAGTTTTTTTAGTTACATCTTGTGCTAAAATCGCACTTATATATAATAAAATAAAATAAATAAATCGTCGATCCCACATGATCGACTCATATACCAAATACAATATCACAAAAGAAAAGAACATCAGGTATAAAAACTGAGTTACTACTTTAGAACTCAGTTTGACTTAAGATTTCTTAGAACCATCGTCCTCTCAATTCTGACAGAACAATAAGACTAGCTCATTGTTTACGAATCAATCCAATCATAAAGGCAATGACTGCTTAAATTTAAGGCACCATCGGACATGTATTATACCACCCAATGGTACCTTCACTAACTATTAGACAACCGTTTAAACTACAGATCCCAATAACTATAAGTACCCTGCCTTCTACCATAATATAAAAGGTCATTCAGTTTTAAAACTAATAATAAGAATAAAAGCCTGCAAGCACTATTAATCTTATTTGCCTCTTTTTTATCTATTTTTTTCTGTGTTAAACAAAGTTTCTCCACACATCTCATCCATTGTTAGAAAAAAACAAAGGTCTAATGCCACAGTGTAGAAATAGAAATGTTTTGGAAACCGTTAAATAAATGGCTACTAATGGAGTACATTCCTCTGTAGTTTCCCTCGTTCTGTCCGTCAATGTATTTATGAAGTCATCAGATTTAAAAAAAAATTGAAATTCCGTTATTGGCTAAAAAATCCAGACGTCATCATTCTCCCTGGCGCAGTCGGTTTTTTTTTATAAATTTTTTTTCCCTTTCTCTTTTTTTCTTTCTTTAAAACTGCAAACATTGTAAGATGCTCCTAATCAGTTTTTTTGACGAGTAAGTATAAAAAAAGAATGATTAAGATTATAAACACCATTCTAATGTCGTTAATGTATAGGTTTTTCCGCGGATTGACTGATCTTGCCTTCCTGTTGTTGTGGTTTTTTTGGTGCTCGACCAAGTTTGCTTTCTTTTTCTTTCGGGAGAAGATAAACAGTAACTTTGTGTCTGTTTGGCATGGTGTGAGAAAAAGACGTGTCAATTATGACAATGTCTGTGTCCGTTGGGGTGATGATGATGCCCTCATCGCTGACATCAGACGTCTTGCAGCTGAGCCTTCGTCTTCTCGCGTTTGTGCTCCTCCCGCTGTTCCCGTTTCTCTTCCTTCTGCCGGTTCTCTCCCTCTTCGTGAGGTTAAGAACCAACCTTTTGCTTTGGCTTCTTTTTCGCCCTTGCAAAAATCAGGGTTCGGCTGTTACAGCCTCGATTGCGTTTGTGTTGTCGGTTTGCCTTGCCTTTCTCCTGGGTTTGTGCCTCCACCCCTTCAACCTTACGAACCCAAATCCCATGTTCCTGCCTTTGCTTTCGCTTGCGAAGCTATAGTCCAGGCATGGGTACAAGAATACGCACCCGTTCTTGTTTTCTCTGCGGTTTCTTCCCCTTTTGGGGATAACGTAGATCCAGCGGTTTCTTCCCTGCATAGGGATAACGCTGAAGAAGCGGTTTCTTCCCCTTCTGGGGATAACGCTTTCTCTGCGGTTTCTTCCCTTCTTAGGGATAACGTTGTCCCAGCGGTTTCTTCCCTTCATAGGGATAACGCTGAAGAAGCGGTTTCTTCCCCTTATGGGGATAACGCTTTCTCTACGGTTTCTTCCCCTTATGGGGATAACGTAGATCCAGCGGTTTCTTCCCTTCTTAGGGATAACGCTGTCCCAGCGGTTTCTTCCCTTTTTAGGGATAACGCTGAAGAAGCGGTTTCTTCCCCTATTGGGGATAACGCTTTCTCTGCGGTTTCTTCCCTTCTTAGGGATAACGTAGCTCCAGCGGTTTCTTCCCTTGCTAGGGATAACGCTGATGAAGCGGTTTCTTTCCCTTCTGGGGATAACGCTTTCCTGGCGGTTTCTTCCCCAATTGGGGATAACGCTTTTACCTCGGTTGTTGGTGGTGCTTCCGTGCCTGGTGTGACCGATGAAGGTTTGCTTTCTCCGCTTCCTTCTCCGTTCTTCCCCGGGGCTTTTGCTTCCCCTGAGTTGCTTCCTCTTCCGTCTGTTCTGTCCCGTCTTCCGCCTTTGGATGATGATGTTTTGGGGAGTAAGCGCAAAACTCCCTCTCCTTCCCCCACCACATCTCCTCGGGTAGAACCCGTATCCTCTCCCTGCTACAGAGCATCTTCTCCTGCCGGAGAAACCACTTCTTTTGTGGTTGATTACTCCGGTGTTCTTACCCCCCCCCTCGCGTGATCGCCAGGCCTAGGCTTTCACGCGTTAACCAAACCAGAAAGCAGCCGGAGTTGAAGCTTTCCTTTGCTGGTAAGCAAATTATAAATCATGGTCTTTATTCTCTCTGCTAACAAATATACGGTTTTTATTTTTTAGAAAAGCAAAATGACGTTGAGCCGGAGGAACCGAATACGAAGAGAGTCCGCTCGCGGGAATTGTAGTTCCTCCTCCTTCCTCTAAAAAAAAAAAAAAGTTAATCAATATTTATTTAAAACATTTCTATTCCTCTGTTGCGACGTACTAACTTACATGTTCCTGTAAACGTAATAACAAAGAGTCATTTGTTACTTTATTTTTCGGTACTGTCGATTTAATACATCCACAATGTAGGACGGTAAATTTGTCGAATTGAACGAAAAGTTATTTATACAATGATTCCTTTGACCCTTGATCAACTAGCGTTAAAATCCGATCCAAAACTGGTCATGTTGGATGTTTCAATTTTTTAAATTTTAGTACTTATCTCATCCATTTTGCATATGGCCTTGTGATAGTTGAGAATAGATTTTAAAAGAGAAAAACAATAAAGTACTTTGAGACTGCTTATAAGTTTTATTAAGAGTAAAAAGTAGATTCAAAGATTGAGAGGGTTCTATTCTAACTATCAGTTTGCATATTTATATATGTTAAGAGAAATCGGATTATGAATTTAGTTTGATGGATAAGTTACACAGCACTAAAATAGTGCTTGTAGTTGGATATGATATAATGTATAAGAAAATAGTTCGTGTTGTGATGTAATAATGTATGAGGTGATGAAGTGAGATTTAATTTTAATATTGTTTTATGGTGTGATTAGTAACAACAGTAGGTGGATCACCACATTATCCCCACCCAGGTATTGACTAATACCGACAAAATTATGAAGATCTTTTTCATTGTTCTTTATTTAGAGTTTTGACGATCATTCTTATTTTTAGTCGATTTATTTTTCTTTACCGGGCGAGAGCTTACTTTGTGATTTAAATCCTTCATCTCATTCAACTTACGTTTATTGGCTTTATTAATGGCTTTGATACTCTCAGGGGCTTCACCTATTCTTCTGTAATAATCAGAGATGAACTTTGGATCAGTAAAGTTTTCCTCAGGTTCCCAAGTATCATCAGCTTCATTGTAACCTAACCATCTGCATCTATATTGCAGCTTATTATTATCATCTCTACGATGTCCTATTATGGCTTCCACTTCGAAGTATTGTTCCTGAGGGATAATTTTATCGGAGACAATTTTTAGGTTTGAAGGTGGAAAGTTCCTAGGCTCAATAAATCCTTTTTCATTTCTTAATACATATGTGCCAGCAGAAGTTTTTCTTACAACAGTGTAATATCCTTCATAGTTAGGATATAGCTTATTTTGCTTTTCTTGAATTAAGATCATTACTGTTGCACCAACTGGAATGTCAATTAACTTGTGGCTTGCATCAAACTTTTCCTTTTGTTTATCAGTGACTTTCTTTGTCTGCTCATAGATTGCAGGGTACACTATTTCTCTCATGAGTTTTATTTTGTTATGTAATTCCTTATTTGTTCTTTCCGTGGTTATTTTATCCGTTTCCTTTTTATAATCTGTAAAGTCATTTGGATTCCTTCCGAACATTAACGAGAATGGTGTACTTTTAGTTCGACTGTTATACTTGCAATTTAATTCCAACTGTGTAGACGCGACCATTATATCCCAGTCAGCAATATTTCCATTTATTTTCTTTTTTATGGTTTTCACAGCGGATTGCACAGCTCTTTCAGTAGCTCCATTAGATCTTGGATGATACTGCGAGATCAAAGCATGGTCAAACCCAATATTGCTTTTTATGCATGACATACACCTATTGACGAATTCGGTAGCCTTATCGCTTTGCAATTTTCTAAATGGGCCGAAGGTGCAGATTACTTCCAACACAACACTTGCAACAACCGCTGCCGTCTTATCAGGTATAGCTCTTAACACATAATATTTGGTTGCTATATCTATCATGACTAACAGATAATGATTGCCTCTTCTAGATGTTACAAATGGACCAGCCAAGTCAATTCCCCAACTGTCACCAGGAAGAGCAGCTAATACAGGTCTTAATGGATTGTAACCTTTTCGTGCTATATTGTGTCGTTGACATGGAACACATGCCTTAATTAACTCATTTGCATCCTTCTTTAAATTAGACCAAAAAATGCCTTTACGTTTTAATGCATGTAATACGGCTTCGACTCCGAAATGTCCTTTAACGTGCTCAAGTTTTAATAGTTCGTCACGCTCTTGTTGAGTAGGAGGAGTGAAGTATTCACCACTGGTTTCGCTAGGTAATGGTTCCATAATTGCTGCTCTATTTCGCATGATGAATTTATCCCCACCCAGTTCATTTGATAGTGCATAATCGTCCTCAAAGAGTCTGGATAACGTGTCGGGTAAGACATTGGATATACCAGGCAAATGAACGATGTCAAAATCATACTGTAAGATGGTATCCATCCATGAGATCATCATGAGATTGGCAATTTTTTGTGTATGGAGATAGGTTAAAGCTTTATGATCAGTGTATAAGGTAAATTTAGATCCGTAGACATACTTATGAAATTTCTTTAACGAGAATACTAATGCGAGTAATTCTCTTTTCGTAGCTGAATATTTACGCTCACTTTTAGATAAACTCTTTGCGACGAATGAAATAAATTTCTTTGTACCATTAATTTCTTGATACAAAACTGCACCAATACCAGATAGAGAGGCATCACAACTTATAGAGAAGGGAGCATTCATGTCGGGAAAGGCTAATACAGTATCGCTTATAAGCGCTTTTTTCAAATTGTCAAAAGCTTTCTGATGGTTATCATTCCATAATTTATCAAGTGATTTTTCATTTCGTAAGGAGTCAAGTGGAGACATTATAGCAGAAACATTGGGGATTAAGGATCTGAAATAATTTATGAGACCACAATAACGCATGATATCTTTTCCAATTTTGGGTTGAGGGAATTCCAGCACGTTTACAAGTTTACGTCTGTCAACGCTGACACCAGAAGGAGTTACACGAAATCCCAAGAGATAAATTTCCTTTTGAAAGAAACAGCACTTATCAGGATTCAACTTCAGGTTTACTTCAGTTAATCGTTTTATCAGCATATTTAAATGTTCTTTATGTTCTTCAATGGATTTACTCGCACAAACAATATCGTCAACGAAATATCGAACACAAGGTAAACCTTCTAATACGATACTCATTGTTCTCTGAAATTGTGAGCTAACATGACGAATGCCAAAAACAGTGCCTATAGGTTGATATTGAACACCACGCCAAGTAAAGCTTAATTTATGTGCATCTTTAGGATTTAACTTTAACGAGTTAAAAGCAGACTTAAGATCCAAGGTTGAATAGACAGTTGCACCCTTTAAATCCTCAAGAAGCTCACTGATAATAGGTAAGGGCATACGGTCAATAGATTTTAACAAACAATTAATATGTCTGGGATCATGACAGACGCGATATCCTTTTACTTGTCCTTTAGCATCAGTCTTCTTGACTACAGTTAGCGGAGTATTCCATTCTGTATTAGCAGGGGCAATTTTAGTAATACCGTTATCGAGCCATTCCTTTACTTGGTCATCTACAATGCTTTCCATCTTAAGAGGGACTGGATAAGGCTTTCTATACGCGGTTACATTAGGTGGAGTATCTAAGGATACAACACTTTCAGGTATAGTGCAGAATGAACCTTTAGGAATTGCTTGATTGGCTTTAATAGCAGGTTGAATGTAATCTAACGCTTCTTTGTATTCATTAGGAGGGCAGGCTGGACAATTTTCCTTTAATTTGTTTTCAGCTTCAATAGATTCAAGAAGTTCACTGGTATTGTTATAACGCTTGTCAGCTTCAATAACGGCTTCTTGGGAATCATGATCATCATACGAGGTAGGAAGACCATAAATTCCGATTCCAAATAATGACATACAATCAGTACCAATACTAAATTGATAACTGTTATTTTCAGGAGCAAGATTCATAACCTCAAAGACACGTTTTATAGTTTTATTATTACAACCAACGCTTAATTCACAAGTACCAATCCTTTTTACAAAAGTATTCTTATCCGCAGACCGAATGAAGTAATTATAAAAATTATGCTTATTTAATTGGTCTTTACTAACATGATTTATAAACTTTATTTTAATATTATTTTTTCTACAGAACTCATAGTCTACCGCACTAAAATTTGCGCCGCAATCAAATAGGGAGAACGTTCTAATAGAATTATCAATGGTAATAGGAAAGGTAATAGTATCAGTATCAATGTTTTTAAAATCTCTTGTTATATCTTTCATATTTGCAGACTTACAATCAAGAGCTAATCGGGCCATCGAAACATTGTTATTCATCTCCTCATCTTCATCACTAGATGAGGAAGGCTCACCACCCCTTTTGGCCATTCGGGAAACCTTATTCCTTTGTGCTTGCTTAAATTCCTCACAACGGTGACCATGAAACCAGGTCTTTCCGCAAAAGGAGCAAGGTTTTTTACCAGAGGAACCGGAGGTGAAAGGTCTCTTGGATCCAGCCGAATCCTTACTAGAGCCAAAGTGACTGGAATTGCGTTTCTTGGAGTAACGCTCATTATCCTTATTGTCATTACCAGTAGAAAAAGCATCCAGCAACGAAGAGTCACCAGAAGGACCAGAAGAAAGGTAATCAGAGTCAGAGGCAGCAACCAATTGGATCATATCTTCCAATTTATTAGGTAGCTTGGTTCCGTATTGTGAAGCAATGGCACTAGAAGCTTTCTCCCGAGTTGATGCTCTCAACGAGCAGTAGAACATGAGCACTAATTGTACACCATCCTTCATATCAGCTTGACGGCGGAGTTTCTGGAATCGGGCACCATACGCACGACAGGGTTCACGAGGGCCTTGACGTAATCGATTTACGTTAATCATTAATAGGAATTTTCTGTATGGAGTATCCAAATGATCAAGAA